AATCAATCAATCAATCAATCAATCAATCAATCAATCAATCAATCAAATATCTATCTATCTATCTATCTATCTATCTATCTATCTATCTATCTATCTATCTATCTATCTATCTGTCTGTCTTGGCAGGAAGATCTAGCTGGGAGTTAGCTGTTATACTGAAGAGCCTGGCTTGTGCAGTCAAAGCTGGCCACTGCTGGCTATGTCTGAATGGAGATTGGGAACCTGGACAGATATAATACTAGAACAGATTTGTGATACCTCAGTCTCGTGTCCTCTGTGCCATGCCAGTTTTCCTAGGAATCCTATTCTTTCACCTGGACTTGAAAAGCATTTTTGCCTTGTCCTATGAACCTCAGCCACTGATAAAAAACTTTTGCTTATCTTTATTTAGATTGGACTGACACTATGGCTTTGCGTTCTGACTTCAACTCTGAGTGCATCTACCAATTCAAGAACTTGAATTATGAACAACTTTGCTAAAGCTCTGCAGGCTAGGACAAATTCTGGCACATCAAAATGATAGAAATTTTTCTTGCATTACCATAATATGCCTATCAGTTAGTTTGGCCTTATCACAGAGGGGCAACGAGCTAACTTAGTACATTTTTATTCTGCCCTTCCTCCATTGAACTTGGGATAATGTAAGTGCTATTTTCACTATCTTCTAGTTTATTCTCATGATATCCTTGTGAAGCAGACTAGGCTGAGAAACAGTGATTGGTCCAAGCAGCCTTCGTCTACTCTGGTATTCAAACAACTATACCCCCTCTAGCAAAGGAGGATGCTAAGGCAATAGTCCCTGACTACTAGAATCCTTAGGATCATTGAGCTAAATATGACAGGAAGGGTGATGACTAGTAATAATTGCATTTTTTAAAACTCAGGACTCCTATTGCTCCAGCCAGAACTAGGCATGGGCTGCTTTTTGGACCATGCAAGTTGCAGATGCAGATGTTCAAATCTAGACCAGAGCTGCAATGAGGAAGGGCACATTGTTGAAGGCTCATCAGAACCTCTCACAAAGGATCGAAACAGGACTGGATTCCCTGCCCTTCATATGAGTAAGGCCAGAGGCAGAGCTGTTATCTATCTCCTTTAAAGCAGCATGCAGTTTGACTTCAGGAAACCATTCCTCTTGCTTTGAAGATTTCACCAGATAATCACTATTAAGCATTTTTTTTTTCACATACAAAAGAGTAGGGAAATTAGTAATGAGAGTGCTAGAAGGTGGAGCTGAGGTTTTCCTGGGAGCAGAAGACTGCTGATTGTCTTTCTACAAAATTTGCACTAACCCTCGTTCCCCCCCCCCGCCACTTCACTCTTGTTTCAAACTGCTTATTGCTCACCATTTTACTGGTTTGAGTCTGAGTTGCTTCAAGTATTATTAATAAAGTTTTGGCAGCTAGTGAAGGGAGTGCTGTGCCAAAATTTTATTCTGCATTTTTAACTCTTTTCTTTCAAATGGATGGAAAAAATGCTTTTCATTGTTTTCTCCAACGGAAAACAACATTTCCTGAGATTCTCATGAAAAAGTGGAAGTTTCTTGCAACTCCTTTAGTTAGGAGATGGCCAGGGGATAAAGGCATATATTCTGTCTCTTGTTGTTGAAACATTCTCCAGCAATCTTCATCTCCTTGGCTTCCCGTGCTTCAGTTAAATTCCAAGAGAAGCCACCACAAGAAAAGTTCTCCCATGAGGCTTCTGTGTATCAGGAAGTTAGACAGCCAGAGAGGCTGCAGAGATGAGGACAAAAATGAAAGAGAATGCAAAGAGAACAGCAGTACATTCTACCACCTCACAAGAGAAATACGTTCTAAAGCAAACTTCAGAATGAACACAAGAAACAAAAACCTTATTCATAGGGAAGGACACCTCAAGAAATAGACAGATTTCAGCCCAGGGCAAGGCCAGAATAGGAGTCACTAAAAAGGTAGTAAAGGCATTTCCTTGTCCTCTACTACAAACAAACTAAACCTCAGCTATATTTCCTACAACCCAGAAGTCTTGGATTTCCTGTGTTGCATTTGATAAGCTTTGGTAATACTAGCAGTATGTACACAAACCTCTTACAAATGATTTACACTTGCCTGAGTTAAAAAAAAAAGGCTCAAAAGGGTTTGTTATACTTCACAATCCCCATGCAGTGGGACCCAAATCTGCCTATCAACGTGACACAGGAGGAAAGCCTGAGACCACGTGCTCTGTGTGTGTGTACCTCAGAAGGAAGGCAGGGAAAGTAACCTTGAGTTAACCCTCTCTTGGACAAAGAGAAGGTAGACGGGACACCCAATACATTCTTAACTCTCTAACTATACTCTACTGCCCCTTGTGACCAGGAGGTCATGAGAAGGTGCAGAGTCAAGGCCTTTGAATCTACACCTCCCCCAATATAGAAAGCAAAGCCACCATCCTGTATTCCAGTGACGGCGAACCTTCTGGATGTGGCACGTCAAAAATTCAGAAAATGCCTAACTTGACTCCGCTGGCATGTCACATGCCCCCCAAACAAAAGAGAAACAATTCTGTACATATTCATTTATTTTAAAAAAATACAGTCCAATCATGTTGGTGCTTTGTATTATATAAAGAAATGTCAAATAATTACAAAAATGAAATCCGAGTAAAACAAACTCAATTTCTTTGGTAACTCAAACAGGGAGAATAGTTGTCAGGTGTTGGTGATCGCTGGCGTGTCACCCAAAACGTTGTGGCATGTCACCTTTGACACATGTGTCATAGGTTTGCCATCACGGCTCTATTCTGTCCAACCACAACATTACAGCTGAGTCAACATAATCTTGGTTTTATTGTTGTTATTCTTCTTGGAAAGTTATTTTGTACAGGCTTCCAACTACATCTTTCAAATGCTGACTTCATCTTATCCAAGTTAGGGACAAGAGGCAGAAGTAGCCAAAACGTTGAGGTAGCCCACATGGTATAGTCTACAGAAGATTTCATTCTTTTCTCCAGAGAAACCAAACTCCACTGATGGATGGGAATGTGCAGAGCATGCCCCGCCTTACCACACTCTTAAGCATCATTTTTTAGGTAATAGCCCTGCCACTGGCTAGTGACTGAAGATGTCATCTTGCTTGATGATCCTGAATGCTTCAATGAATTGAACGCCTCTGCCCTGTCCAACTGTCTACCCTTCTCTCTGTCCCAGTTAAGCTTGAAAGTAGCCAGCACATTCCAGGGAGCAGCTCCGAGTTTTAAACCTAAGGAGCTAAAAGTTATATTCTTCATAGTGAAGGTGCTGACAATTAAAACCTTTCCTAGGGGACATGTTGTCCACACAGCAAGTGCATTTACTGAGAAAGCCATCTTGCAAGCGGAAAGGGAAGGTCTGGCTCCCTGCCCAAACATTGTTTGAAGGATTCTTGGCTGCTGAATGAAGAGCAGCCTCTTCCCACCCAAGGAGCCATTCTTCCTGTCCACCTGCACAAAAGCAGCACAACTTTTCTCCTCTGCAAGGAGCTGCAGAGGTCAAAGGTGGCCAGCAGTTTGCTTTTAAAAATCCAGCTAATGTTGTTTGTGGACTCTGAAGCATTTTTAATGTGAATGTGCACATATATCTGGGTATACAAATGCATATGTGCATAAACACACATTCATGTGTGCGTAGGGGAAAAGTGATAATTTGTCTTGTTTCCTTAATGCAAACATCACTTAATGCAACACGAAAAAAGGAATTAAACTTACAGATGCAGATTCTGATGAGTCCTCCTCTTCAACTTCCTCTCTATTGTCTTCAATTTCCTCCATCACTTCAGCCTTTGCCTCTGCCACGAGCTCACGCAAAGCTTTATTATTAGTGACCTTGCTGACAAAAGGATGCTAAAAAATCAAGTTCATGATTACCATACAGCCTGAGTATCTTGCAAATCAAGAACAAGATGGTTCAAAGTGAACGTAGATACCTTTTCAGCTGTTTCGCCCCTCCTTTCCTACTCAAATATTCATGTATAATACAATGCATTGGCCCTGAGTTACAGACAATAATATTGCAATATCTAACTTTAAAATAAATAGCCTAGGTCATAGATCAATTTTTGGATTACTGGGGCCAAATCCTTTCCAGAAAATGTTAGGAACTAGAAGTATATTTAGTTATCAGTCTTTACATGCTCAGACTGGTTTCTTTCACAGTTGTGGAATATGTGTGCTTTCAAGTAGCAGTTAAACAGAAGCACATACCCTCTGTGACAGTGAAACACTGCAGCTGGAAAATTGCACAAACAAGGCAAAGAGAAGTCATGAAAAGACATATGGAATAGCTGCCTCTCAGAGCTTTAGAAAGACAAGTTTCTATTGCCTGATAAGTGCAACTGTGGGCAGGATTTTCAAAACACTCTGCTTAAAATTGGGCACTGTTGCAATGAGGTAAGACAAAATTGTGCTCTCAGATAGCACATTCAATCCACGGGACTTCAATCAGCATCACTATCCCTACCTATAGAAGCATCGTTTATGCAAGAACTGTATTCCAGTGAGCAACTAAGGAGTTGAAATGCACAAAATGTTATGTAAGAGCCTCACCTGGTTTATAGCAAAGCATCTTGCATAGGAACAAACATAAATGAAATAAATATACAAGCCTTAAATGATTTAAAAGCAAACAATGGACTTATTAAAGCCTGCTTCATAAATGGGTGTCCCTTCCATCACAGAGGAACAGGTAAGAGGGACTACCTCATCAAACATACACAGACTTACCTAAAAAAATCCCAGTGAAGTCCATATAACTTACTTCAGAGTTTACAAACAAGAATTACACTGTAACCTTGCAATGTTACCAAGCAACCCCATGAAGCAGCCCTCAAATATCAATTAATTAATTAATTAATTTTATATCGCCGCCCATCTCAGTTGCATGCGACTCTGGGTAGCATATACAGTTAAAACACAACTAAGAATCATAGCCTTCCAACATTAAAATCAATTAAAAACAATTAAAAGCTACATTTAAAAATTAAAATTAAAAAAATTAAATTAAAAAAATTAAGTTAAAAAATTAAAATTAAAAAATTAAAATTAAAAAATTAAATTACAAAAATTAAAATTAAAAAAATTCAGAGTTTTCCACAGTAGATAGTACTGCGTATTTTCTTTTTGTTAATTACGTCAACATATTTGGGTTTTCAGTATACTTCTGCCAAGCAATAATCGATCTGAAATTCTTCCCTCCAACAAATAGGTCACTTTTTCAAAAGTCAAAGTTAACAGTAGCAAACAACAGTTGCATACTGAATTCTGGACCAAAATTCAAGCTGTCTTAAAATAACCTTCCCCAACCTGTTGAGGAATAACTCCCATAATTCTCAGCAGTGTACAGTGTCTCAGGAGTCCTAGGGAGACTGTATTAGATGCCCCAGGAAGCAGGACTACTCAGATTGAGTAGTGAGGAACAGAACTCCTGTATAATTAGAACCTAAACTCCAGCAACCACCTAGGTTTTCTATACATTAATGATCAACCCTGTACTCCAACCAAGGGCATGTGTGTGGCTCTATGAGTCTTTCACAGAGTGTTAACGTGTGACTCACTTGAGATGCTATACTTACTTCAAGTAATTGTGTGGCAGTTGGCCGGGTCTCAGGGTTCTTGTCAAGTGCAGTCTTCAGAAAATCTCTGAACGCTGGAGACCTTTATGAACAAACACACACATTTAAAAACTATCAAAAAACTTCAGGAGAAAGAAAACCAGGACATCCACCCCATAGACTACACAGTTTATAAATTAAAATCAGTGCTTTTCAGCTGGAAAGAAACACAAAGCAGCACTAATTTATATATATTTAATACTTAATACTGAGTACTAGAAAATGTGGCCTTGATTAATTACAGATCTACCACTGTTTTGTAACCCAGAAGCAACAGTTGTTCAGAAGCAAGTTACATGCTGACATTCTGTTCCCAATTCATGCCAAAGACCAAATGTTAGCAAGCTCACACGGGGACAATTGTCTGCCTGAGTTTAGGCTAATACAAAGCCTTCTGTCAGACAACTGATTGTACCCTCCTCCCTTCCTGCACCTCTTTTTCTATGCTGGCTCCCACGTAAGAGTAGGCAAAAAACTTACTGGCAGTTTCTACATATAATCACAGCAAATGTTTCACACATGGCTACATCTGCCCAGTGATTTTCTAGCCAAAAATGCTATACTGTCCTGTTCACATGCAAGAGATTTGGAGAGGGGATAATCTTGCTGTTTTCCACTCCTCTTGTAATAGGAAGCCCAACTAGATGTACTTTCTAACAAAGATTTCATATCCTGGGAGAGGGCATAAAAAGGGCTTCAGAAAGTAAAAACACAAAGCTGCACTGGTTGGATGTTTGCTGGGGACTGTGCTGTGCATTAAGAACATCATAACAAATCAACACATTTCAGATGTTCGTAGAAACAGAGAAAGCTACATTGTACCAGTCAAACTACAAGTAGTCCTCAGTTAACAACAGCAATTGGGACCGGAGTTGCCATTGTTAAGTGATGCAGTCATAAAATGCGACATCACATGACTGTGTTGTTTAGTGACAGCAATTCTGGCACTCCTGGTTGGCATCATTAAGTGTATCATCGTGGGTCATTAAGTGAGGACATCATGTGGTCTCCATTTGCGACCTCCTACTGGCTTCCCCATTGTCAGAAGCTGGTAAAGAAGATTGCGAATGACAACTATGTGACCACAAGATGCTGAAATATCATAATGTGAGCTGGGCATCAAGTGCCTGGACCACAATCGTGTGACTTTGGGGACGCTGTGATGGCTGAACTATGAGGACCGGTCATAAGTACCAATTGTTCAGCGCTGTTGCAAGTTTGAATGGTTGCCGAAAGAGTGGTTGTTAAAAAAAGGACCACCTGTATTTGTCTTAGGATGGAGGGAATGCTTCCTGTCTCTTATTATCATATCCTTTTAAATGGGGAAGCCAAGGAGAGAACCTGAGATCTTCTCTTCACAAAGCATGTGATTCATCACTAAGCTATTATTGTCTTTGCTGTACATTGCTCACATCTCAGATGCTGTAAAAAATGTGGTATCACATAGTCCTATATTTTAAGTGTTTGAAAAATGAAATATTTTGAAAAACAGTACAATGTAATGCCTCTAAATAAGAAATGGAAAATAATGCTTTCTTGCCTGGGTCAAAATAAGGGCAATGATGATGAGAGTTGTAGTCCAAAACATTTAGAGAACATCAGGCTGAGGAAGGCTGCTCTAAGGAATTCAGGCTGCACTCTTTATATGTGTCAGCCCTTTGAGGTAACTCAGAGTTGGACACCAAAATCATGAATACTAAAACTACTTTTATTATAGGGTTACAGTAATAGAACCTTGCAACTCTGAATGTGCCTCCCCCTCCCTGCCTTTATCTTCAAGAAAACTAAGGAGGGTCCAGTCTGAGATGCTTTCTCAAATTCCATTCCTGCTTTGGGCTAAGATTTAGTTGACTGTTGCCTTGGCTGGGGCTCTTCCTTCTCTTCCTCAGGGTTATTCTCACAGCTCACTACATCACATAACACCTTTACTTACACATTTCAGGAAGATAGGCTAAAGCCCTTTACCCAACGTTACCCAGCTTCAGGGGTAAATGGAGATTACAAGTAGTCCCTGGGTTAAGAACGTCCAGTTTATGGACAACCCATAGTTAAGAGCAGAGCCTACTGTAGCAAAATTCGAGTTAAATGCACAATGATTCGAGTTAAATACACAATGGTTCGAGTTAATTACACAAT